TTACAGCGGGCAGGTGCTCCGCGGGTCCGCTGCTTGAACTTTTTAGTGCGGCTCCAGCTTCACGTTTTAATGTGCAGTTTGAGAATGCACCACAGCTTCTTTTTTAATGCCAGCGGTATAAACAAGGCAAGCAGTGTGAGAAGCCATATTTGTAACTTTTGATCCACGAACCCCGCGTTGTCGGGATTCTTGTTTTTAGTCGTTGTCTGAGGCTCAGTGTGCATGCTTGGACTGGGAAATACGTTCACCTAAAAAAAACAGTTTAAGCCGTGCACTTGGCGCGTTGAGGATGCGAGCACTCAAAGTCGTGAACATTATCAGTGATGCATAAAGATCACAGCCTCGAATTATCGCCTTACAACTGCAGACCGCTGCTATAGTTGCACAAACCGTCCGGTTCAAGTCGTTTACGTCTGCAGGGAGCAGCTTTTTACGCTGGGGGAGCCTGCAAACCTCCATCCGGAGTCACTGTGCGCACAGATGGCCGAAATAAAAGTGCCGTTACCGTGGACCGTTAGCGGCCACCAAGCTGCGCGAAAAACCCCCACGCAGAGATCAAAAACGAGCTACGCCCGACTCATTATCAACTGTCGTGTGGCTATTCACTCGTTTTCATCGGGATTTCTCGAAGCTTAGGCGTCCCAGCTCCCCCGGTGAAAACAGGGGGGGAAATCGTCGAGCCGCGCTGTTGCTCTAGTTTTCCAGAACTAGGACAAGCCGCCATTTTACCGAGAAACAAAGGCTATTCGAAATACACCGAAATCCCGTTCATTCGACACAAACGACGAACCAGTCATCATACCTTCGTGTTAATAGAGGTCTATACACACCATCAGTCCAATCGGGAAGTGTTTAGCGCGAGCAACAATGAAAACGTTTGCCTGGCAGCTATCTAATCGGCTTTAGCGGCCCCTCCTACTCACAAATGACCCTGTGCACGACTCGTAGGTCTGTTTGGCTCCGGCTTGTTTTGACTAATGTGCATCTGCGTCGCTCATAGCTCACGCGCACGTCTCTTATTGCGCTTTAAACACGGCAGCCGTACTTTATCGCTTTCTTACTAATGTGTCAAAAAAGCGAGATAAATGTCATATTTACGTAATGGAAAGAGTCAACGCATCGCGATATTTACAGCGGTACAATGACCGCTGATGGACAGTGGGGGGTTTTTTTGGGTTGTTTTTTTTATAGTTCTGGTCCTCACTGCTGATTGGCTGAGTCACGTTCAAGGCCGAGGTGAAATATCCGATAACAGCCCACCTGTGACCGCATATCACACTATTTAAATATCAGTGCGCAGGGCCAAAATTAACGCTGTTGCTGCTGCTACACTGAAGTGTGGCATCCGCCCAGTGTTGAGCTGGTTTATCTGTAGGAGGACGTTTGTTTATTTTCTTCAGATTTATTTATTTATTTTCTTAAAAAATGGTAAAAGTAAATCAATTTAAATGTTTATATGTGTATATATTTTTTTTTACAATTAAGAGCTGATTCCAAATATTGTTGATACAATTTAACTAAAGTGTCAAAGACGAATGTAGTAATGAAAATAAAATGTGTCTTGAATTTACAGAAATGTATGGATTGTTGTTTGGTATGTGCTTGCTTTTTGTTAGCATTTTTTTCCTGTCATTGCTGACTGCTGTAACAAAGCAACAATGTAATGTGTTGATTGGGATTAACAAATATGATGTTTGCAGTTTGACAAATTCTAACCATTTTAATTTTTTGATTACGCTTCAGGTCAAAGAACTAGTGCTAGACAACTGTCGCTCAAATGAAGGCAAGATCGAGGGTCTAACAGACGAGTTTGAGGAGCTGGAGTTTCTTAGCACAATCAATGTTGGTCTGACGACAGTTGCCCACTTGCCGAAGCTAAATAAACTCAAAAAGGTGGGTGCTTTTCATCACGTGACAAATCTCTGTAGCTTCAGACTGTAAAGTTTTGCAAGGTTTTGATTATTTAATTGACCAACAGCTTGAACTCAGCGATAACAGGATCTCAGGAGGGTTGGAAGTTCTGGCGGAGAAGTGCCCCAATCTCACACATCTAAACCTCAGTGGCAACAAGATTAAAGACCTCAGCACAATAGAACCACTGGTGAGTCCCAGAAATATGAGGGGGGGAAAAAGCACAACATGCAAAACAGCTCGTTGTTGTTTATCAAACTGGATTGTTTTTGTTTGTTTTTTGTTCTGATAGAAAGAACTGGGGACCCTGAAAAGCCTAGATCTGTTTAACTGTGAAGTGACAAACCTGAACGAATACAGAGACAACGTGTTCAAGCTATTACCCCAGCTCACGTACCTGGATGGGTATGACAAAGATGACAAAGAAGCACCCGATTCTGATGCTGAGGTCTATGCAGAGGGCTTGGATGATGATGAGGAAGATGAAGATGGTATGTCCAAGACTATGTCGGGTCTCATGTATGTCTTTGCGACGCTAATGCTGGCGTTTATATTAACTGACCACTTTCACCCAGATGTAGATGATGAGGAGTATGATGAAGATGCAGCACCGGGAGATGAGGAGGAGGAGGAAGGAGAGGATGAAGAAGAGGAGAATGAAGAAGAAGAAGAGGAAGACCTCAGTGGAGAGGTGAGATGAGAATAAATGAGATATGCTTTTTCTAATAGTTATGTAAAAATGCTCTTGTTAGTAGACTGGTTGCCATGGTGAATCCCGCCTCTCGTCCTCTGGCTTCAACTCCGCGAGACCCGGAAGTGAATCATCTCACTAACTTTGCCTTGTCTTTTAACAAAGGAGGAAGAGGAGGATGATTTGAATGACAGAGAGGTTGACGATGAAGATGACGAAGGTGAGCAACTTCTCCAAATACATAATAAGTGCACACGCTTGATGCTATTCTTTATAGTGGACTGCTTTTGTTTTTCTTAACCTTTATGAATTAGCAAATTTAAATATGCCCTTTGGATATTTTACACATGGCGTTAACATGGAGAGATGCTACAGTTTCTGTGTCCACTATATATACACCATGTATAAACCATAGACGGTATATAAAGGATGGGAGTAGGCACAGTGACAGCACCTTGTAGGTCGTAAACTCATGTTTTGAAGCCTTGATCTTCAGTATTATGGTTTTTGCAAGCTTGTCTTTTGGAGAGCCAGAAATGACTGTGCTTGGGACTGTAGAATGCTAAGTTAATGCTAAAAATGCTTAAACTTTGCCACTATGGCTAGCACGCTTTGTTAGCAAGGTGCATTTCAGAGTGTATTGTTATCTGTGCACAAACAGAGGTATTTTATAGTTAATGGAAAGTAATGTACAAATAAATATGGAGCTGTCCCCCAAAAGCTATTTTATTATTACTTTCTTTAATTGTAATTTCATTATACTGTCGGAAACGGGTCTCTCTTGTAAATGTAGAAATAAAGGTTAAATAAAATAAATATAGGGAGTGAATCCTTTGGGAGTTAGCCTCTAGTGGGCATTCAAATGATTTGCAGTTCTCACCCCTGTGTGCTGGCTTCATATTGAGCCTCAGAGGGAGCTTATGTGTGCGTGATACAAACAAAACAGGGAGACAAGTGTGAAACGAGGACAAGGATAATGTGTTTTGGTCACGTGGAGCTTTCTTCATCTGTAATGCTGTATTTGTCTTATAAATGTGACTTTTATTTCTTACTTATTTCTCAGAAGAAGAGCGAGGTCAGAAGAGAAAAAGGGACCTGGATGAAGAAGGGGAGGAAGATGATGACGATTGAGAGTCTTCTTTAAGCTAAGTTGTGAACTGTTTTTAACTTGTATCTCCCAGTCACTTCCCAACAGCCCCCATGTATTTTTTTCCCCTCAGTTTCATATTGCAGTAGGAGTGGGTTTCTTTTGTTATTGGCCAGTTAGGTAGACGGGTTTTCCTGAAGGGAAAGAAAAGGTTACATTTGTGTACCTTTGACACCCCCGTGTTCCAGTCTTTACTGTCCACTTTTAACTGCTTCGTGGACACCAGTTTTGTAATATCAAATAATAGCAAATATAAACCTTTTTGAGAGATGTTTTTGTTTCCTCACTGTTTGTGTAAGACCAATTTCTGATGTATTTTAAGACCGCCCCAAAAAGAGGGGGGAAAAAAAAAAAAAAAAAAGAGTGCATGTCTAATACATTTTAAAGTCAACTACTGGATTCATGTATGGCTGTCCTCTTCTCGTCTTAAACTTATTGTTATTTTTTTAATTGTATTTCTTTTCTTTTTTTTCTTTTTAATGTAAGTTATGTGTTTGTAGTGTCACCAGTATGCCAATACTCTCTGCTGTCCTGGTGTGAAACTTCTGTCTGAACATGCGCAGTGTGACCCTCACGGGACATATTTTTAAATCCTAGCAAAAAAATGTCTGCCCTTGTCAAAGCTGCTCCTCCTCCTCTTAAACCCTCAGCTTTGATAGTTCGGAAATTACGTGTTCTTGTAAATAATGACCAAATCTATTTTTTTGTATTCTCTTTGATGACGGCAGACATTGAACAGACAACTGAGGTGAAACTATGAATTGTAATAAGATATTAAATATGTATGCTGCTTTATCTAAGAATACGCAGTGTGAAATTTCTTGAATTTGAACATAACTTTGTATGCATCATCTTTCCATAAGGACAAAACATCAGAGCTCATTGCTTTCTTTGCTCCCCCCCCCCATGTTCTTTTCTGTGACACACACACAGATGGCAATGTTTGGATTTTGTGCTGGTGGTGTAGAGGAGTGCTTGATTTAAATGGAGGTTACAGCCACAACGTATGTGCATCGAAAATTTATTGTTGCAAAATGTAAACTCTGGAAAACGGTCAGCTGTTTGGACTTTGTTTTCCTCCAGTATACGCAATGGTCAAATTGGCCTACCTCAGTGATTTTTTTTCACTACATGTTAAATCCACTGTCATCAGCTGATTTCTTTCTTTTCCCCTTCCATTCACTTCAATAAATCCCTTTTTATATATGTGTTTGACGTTTGTGGTCCTTGTACACAGTTTAATATATTAAAAAAAAAAAAGTGTATACAGAATTCCAGGGAGTGATGACAGTTGTCATTTTTGATCATCTACATGGAAAATCAAGAAAAGAATTTACAGAATGCCTTTTTCTTTTCACAATACTGAACTCGTATACACCTACAGTACACTGCTACCACACTAAGCAAATCTAAGTTGGGGTTTACTTTGAGTCTGCAGCAGTAACTGTTTGGTCAAAAATGTCATGACTAAAGTTACTCGACATGTCTCCTGTCTGTCACTGCAGCTCCTCGATCTGTCTACTTTCACTGTAGCCTTTTATTTAACGCAGATATTTACCATTGTTCAAGTCTTCATTGTAAGGGCTCATCTTCTCTAGCTAAAGCTATGAAGCTTTGGCCCTTTATGTGCCTGCGATGATGTTATGAGGAAAGACTTGTGACCTTTAGTCCGTAACTCGCTGTTAACTTACCATTTCCATCCTTGTCATGCATGCAGTGGAATTTCTCGAGCTCGGCTCTTAAAATAGTGCCAATTAAATTCGAACGCTCTCAAATGTAAAGCTGAATGAAAACAAGGTCTGAGGGTAAAACCGAGGCAGCGCAAATTTCTCCTGTATGTGTTGTCGGCACGGGTGGAGGAGAGGCACGTCACCTGACGTCTTGAAAGCAAAAATTACACGGCTACAGACAAACATTTCTCAGTAATAGTAATATACTTGGTTTAAATGTCAAATGGTTGGTTATTATTCCAGTTTGCACTTTTAAAAGTAGGAAATTATATAGCTTCATAACTTATCTGAAGTTACGTTGTTGGAGACAAAGAGCTAAGAAGAAATACCTTTTTAAGGTGCTGTGTCACACAAGTCTTGCACCATTTCCACCGGAAACATTCAGCAAAATCTATCAAGCATCACAATCATTACTTGCGCAGTGTGTCATACAAAAACAAAGGGATTAAGAAATATACATGTTATTAGCTAAAAAGGTAAGATGTGACAAATAATAAATAAAAAGCAAATATACATTACCCCATCATCAAAATTAGCCCTAAAAACCAGTAACAGCCAGCAAAGCTTCCCTCGGATCCATGTCTCCTCAGCTGCGTCCCCATTGTTTAAATAAAGAGATACCTGAACAAAGTGAACTATGTGCTGTCCTTGGGGAAAGACTGTCTGGAGTAGCTAAGTGTCAGTGTGACAAAGTAAATCTCTAGCCACTGTTTGTAGGTAATGGGATAAGCAGCCCGGTGGGAAAAACATGGTCCATGTCTGCAAAGCTCTCCTCGTCCGCCATTTTGAGATAATGTTGCAGCTCGCTGCAAACTGGGTCTGCAGCAGGGTCTAAGGCCTTGGGGAAGAAAAATAGGAGCAGTAATAGTCTTCTCCAGTTTTAACCTCAACATAAAAATTACAATTCGGAGGTGGTTTGGTCAGTACAGGACTTTTTTTTTTTGCATGGTGATCAAGGCATTGCCACATGGACAAGAGGGTAGGCAAAGTGAGACGAATACCTAGGCGGCGTGGAATAACACTGCTAGATCAATCATTTACATTTATAAAAACTGAAAATACCAAAATTCTCTGCATTCTATATCAGCGATTTAATGCTTAAGTAGCAATCCCTGATCTGTCATGCCTCATTACTTGTATTTGTCACTACTACAATATTGCAGTATTTGGATCAGTTAACATTATCCAATGGTTACCATGTTATTGTGTGCACTACGTGGAACAGCAGGAAGAATGAAGTTATGATATAATGAAATATATCAAAAAAGCAGGGCGAAGGGCTCAGAAGGTTGTTGGAGGTCAGAAGTGGGGGGGGCAAAGGAAGCGAGGCTTTGCCAGTCCAGGAGTCTAAGAGGTCAGGCGTTGTTGGGGCTAACGTTCTTCAGGTTGTTGAGCTCGAGTTCCAGCTGGCGTATTCGGACGTCCTTGGTGGTCAGTTCCTCCTTCAGCCGCCGCAGCTCATCCTGCTGCCGGAAGAACATCCGCAGGAGCTGTGTGGAAAAGGTGGGAAACGAGTGGAAGAACATGAGCGCAACGGCAGCTCTCAAAACAAGGAAAAGAGGACATTGGCAGGATGAAGGACGAAACATTTGGTTTTAATGGCAAGTTGTGTAAGGCTGGGTTCATTCTCAGCTTTTTTCTGAAATCATTTGCACCAGTACATTATGCTCTACTCTTATGATCGAAAGCTGTGGAACAGCTACTACATGGACCCCATGAGCCAAAAGGTCAGACTGCT